TCATTTAAATCAGCTTCTGTACCAAATGACTGGAGGATAGCTAATGTGATGCCAATTTTTAAAAGGGCTCCAGAGGTGACCCTGGCAACTACAGGCCAGTAAGCCTCACTTCAGTACCAGGAAAATTGGTTGAAACTCTCGTAAAGAACAAAATTGTCAGACAGCTAGATAAACATAATTTGTTGGGAAATAGTCAACATGGTTTTTGTAAAGGGAAATCATGCCTCACCAATCTACTAGAATTCTTTGAGGGGGTCAACAAGCATGTGGACAAAGGAGATCCAGTGGATATAGTGTACTTAGATTTTCAGAAAGCCTTTGACAAGGTCCCTCACCAAAGGCTCTTAAGCAAAATAAGCTGTCATGAGATAAGAGTGAAGGTTCTCTCATGGATTGGTAACTGGTTAAAGGATAGGAAACAAAGGCTAGGAATAAATGGTCAGTTTTCAGAATGGAGAGAGGTAAATAGTGGTGTCCCCCAGGGGTCTGTACTGGGCCCAGACCTATTTAACATATTCATAAACTATCTGGAAAAAGGGGTAAACAGTGAGGTGGCAAAATTTGCAGATGATACAAAACTACTCAAGATAGTTAAGTCCCAGGCAGACTGTGAAGAGCTATAAAAGGATCTCACAAAACTGGGTGACTGGGCAACAAAATGGCAGATGAAATTTAATGTTGATAAATGCAAAATAATGCACATTGGAAAACATAATCCTAACTATACATATACAATGATGGGGTCTAAATTAGCTGTTACCACTCAAGAAAGAGATCTTGGAGTCATTGTGGATAGTTCTCTGAAATCATCCACTCAATGTGCAGCGGCAGTCAAAAAAGCGATCAGAATAATGTTGGGAATCATCCAGAAAGGGATAGATAATAAGACAGAAAATATCATATTGCCTCTGTATAAATCCATGGTACGCCCACACCTTGAATACTGCGTACAGATGCGGTCGCCCCATCTCAAAAAAGATATATTGGAATTGGCAAAGGTTCAGAAAAGGGCAACAAAAATGATTAGGGGTATAGAACGGCTTCCATATGAGGAGAGATTAATAAGACTGGGACTTTTCAGCTTGGAAAAGAGGTGACTAAGGGGGGATATGATAGAGGTCTATACAGTCATGAGTGGTATAGAGAAAGTAAATAAGGAAGTGTTATTTACTCCTTCTCATAATACAAGAACAAGGGGCCACCAAATGAAATTAATAGGTAAATAGCAGGTTTAAAACAAACACAAGAAAGTATTTTTTCACGCAATGCACTGTCAACCTCTGGAACTCCTTGCCAGAGGGTGTCGTGAAGGCCAATACTATAACGGAGTTCAAAAGGGAGCTAGATAGATTCATGGAAGATAGGTTCATCAATGGGTATTAGCCTGGATGGGCAGGAATGGTGTCCCTAGCCTCTGTTTGCCAGAAGCTGGGAATGGGTGACAGGGCTTGGATCACTTGATGATAACCTGTCTGTTCATTCCCTTTGGGGCACCAGCCATTGGCCACTGTCAGTAGATCGGATACTGGGCTTGATGGACTTTGGTCTGACCCAGTATGGCCGTTCTTACGTTCTAAAGGTAAAGGAAATGCCCTCAACAGCTCCAGTTCTGAAATACCACAATGTGAACAAAGCTACAAAGGTCAGCGTAGAGCAAGCAGCTATAGCCTGGGTGATGGATTGTTGCAACAACATGGCTCCGAGTGGAAGCCAGTTGCATTTTGCTCTCGCACATTCACTGAAGCAGAAAAATGACATGCGCGCGGTGAAAAGGAGTGCTTGCCAAGTGTATGGGCACGTGAGAGCTTTTACCACTATCTGGGTGGACTGGATTCATTTACCCTGGTAATAGACCATAAACGGCTTGTAACCCTCATCAATGGAAAAGACCCGGATCAAGCAATGCTGAGGTGCCAACATCTATTGTTAAGGTTAATGTGACTAGCCCAATTACTAAACATGTTCCAGGGGAAAATGTAGTAGTAGCAGGCACTGTGTCATGGAGCCCAACATCACACTCAATTACCTAGGAGCTCGAAGACGACATAAAAGCATATGGGTATGCTGTGGACACATACAGCCCAGTGTCAAAAAAGAGACCACACCAGCTACAAAAAGCAGCCTCGACAGACATACAACTTCAGGAATGTTGGGGTGGCTGGCCCAAGTATCTAAGACACTAAGGAAGTGACAGGACACTATTTTGTGGTGCATGAAAAATTAAGCAATTCAGATGGACTCATGATTAAAGGCAACTGCATCATAATTCTAAATGAAATGAGAGGAGAAATCCTAAATCTCTTCCATGAAAGACATTAAGGGCTTAACTAAATGCTGTGAAGGGGCCAATCAGTCAGTGCGGTGGTCGGGCATCAGCAAGGACATAAAGAGTAAATATCTGCATGTGAACATTGCAGAACTAACAGACCAACACAACACGAAGTAACTTTAGTAACAACACCTCTACCAGACAGACCTTGGAAGAGACAAGCTGCAGTTTTATGCAAATTCAGAGGACATCATTACCTAGTCACAATGGACTGTTTTTCCAGGTGTATAGAAATAATGTACTTGGAAGACATAAGATGTTGAAGTATAATCGAGAAACTCAAGTTCACTTTTGCTCATTTCAATATTTCAGACCAACTAGTGACAGACAACAGACCACAATTTGCTGCAGCAGAATTTAAGTCATTCTGAATGAAATATGATTTGGATCATATTCCTAGCAGCCCACATAACCCACAAGTTAATGAAGAGGCTGAGAGAACTGTACAGACAGCCAAGAAAATCCTACAGCAGGAAAATCCATTCTTTGCTTTTCTCAATTACAGAGCAGCACCAATACAAGTTAATGGATATAGTTCTAAACAACTCTTGATGGGAAGACAACTCAGAACTACTATTGCAACTTCAAAAAAGAATCTATCTCCAAAGTGGCCAGACATTCAGAATGCAGCCAAAAAGGCTAAAAGAGCTTATGAACACTTTTACAACAGACATCACTCTGATGGGTCTAAAATCTGGTGACCGTGTACATGTAAAATGGATGGAGAAAAAGGATGGACAACTCCAGCTGTCCTAAAGAAAAGGAATTCAGCACCCAGATCATATGTGACTGAGACCGACAATGGAGAATTCAACAGAAACCATCAACATCTACAGTTTGTTCATCAGAAAGAAGGATCAACAGAGCAAACTCTACAGATGTCCGATGCAGACCAAGAAGAAGGCTCAAGGATTCCAAACTGACTACACTCAGTCATTGCAACTAATGGACAGCCAGATGACCAAGTTGTTATGTGTTTGGGATGTGTAATTAGAAAACCAGTATGATTCAGAGACACTTAATAGACTGATACATACTGAACTTCAATAATAGCATGATCATATAAATATTGAAAATGGCAGGAAAGTAGAACGTAAAAGGGGGAGATGTGATGGAATGCTAAACTGTATTATAGTGTTCTGCCACGAGGTGGCACTGTGTAAAATACTTTATTTAAAAAGCTAACCTTCGCCATACCAGGAAGAGCATTAAAGGATCTTATGATGATCCTAGTGTGCATAAGCAAGCTCTGGAGCCAGTCCATATCCGGTCCAGAAGTACATGATAGGATGTGTCCTCACAAACTCATAGCTCCACACATGCTGGGGAGAGAGCAACACAAGAGAGGGGAGGGAGTTCCCCGAAGGAGCAGGCGATTTGAGATAGACCGGGGTATGCATGATTCTTCAGGGCATTCAGTTACGCTGAGAATGCTTAGGAGAGGCTGGAGTGAGTCAAGACGGGGGACAGAGGATACTCTAGCTGAGTGCCAACATGCTGATAGGGTAGAAAGCATGGTCTAGTGAATGGGGTACCGGGGTAGTATTCAAGTACACCTGATTTCAACTGCTGACTCAGCAACAGCCTCCGGCTATGACCTTGGGCAAGTCTGCCTCAAGTTCCCATCTAGAAGATGGAAAGAGTAGCTTCGGCCTACCTCACAGAATGTAAGGATCAAAGCCATTAACGACTGTGAGGTGCTCATGCGCAATGGCACTGAGGGCTAGCTATGTGGCTAGGGGGATCTGTGCCGTTGTGTCTGCACGTCACGCCTGGGTTCACCCAATGTCGAGGCACCCAGAATCGCCAGTCACTTCTACATCTGCCTACGGCAGGGTTCTTACACCTTCCTCTGAAGCATTTGGTACCAGCCACTCTCAGCGATGCGATACCGGTCTAGACGGACCATGAGTCCAATTCAGCAGGGCAGCTCCTGTGTTCCTGTGTAGATGCGTCTCAACTGTTTTGCCCCTTTGTGACCCAGATTTAAGCTCCTTGGGGCAGGGACCATGTGTGAGTGTGTGTGTGTGTGTGCATGTGTGTGTTACCCGGCATCTTCTGACGACCCTGAAGATGCAAAGACTAAGGCCGCCATTTTCTCCACTGACTACTGATTTTGGGGGCCTGAATATGGGGGCTCACACAATAATTAGAAGACAGTGTTGAAAATATGGGCCTGGTTGAATAGATTTGAGAGCCATCTTACCGGCCAATCCGATGCAGTTCAGGGGCAAGAGCCTGGGAAGGCCAGAGGGCTAAACCAGGGATGGTTTCCATTTCCTGAAACCGCTCTGGGGTTGGATGTTGGTGACACAAAACTAAAAACTGGGGTGGAATTGGATTCGGGTCCCATTTTATCCAAATCCTTGATGCTTGGTGGTGTCTGGCTTTGGTGGTTATGGTTTGGACCAACTGATCGTAGCTTAGTGGTGGCTGGATGCGTGGCTATGGTTTGGTCATGACTGGAAGCCGCAGTGTCCGGGAAATATCCCAGTCTACAGCAAGCTGAGTGGCTTAGTGGCTCAGACTTGTCTCTGATCTATCACTGCAGAGCCGGTTTAATGAAGGAATCACGCAGTCCTCCTTTCCTTTCCTCCCTGTGTGCTGTGCCATGCTGGTGTCTGGCAACGCAATTCTCCTTAAAATGCAGAGAAACAGTACCTATACTTACTGCCTGTGCGTAGGCGCCGTACGCTCCAAACTGGATAGCCATGGGGTTGAACATGCCCATCTGTCCTGCCATTTGCTGCATGCGCCTCATTGTACGCTCCTTGTCCGTGTCTGCAAACTTCACCACCAGGCTCGAGGAGGCCCCCTGGAGGTAGGGAAACAAAAAGAGAGAACACAACCGGGGTATTTTCCCATTAGTGCCCAGTGGGACCAATCTGCATCCGCACATATAACAGAGACTGGCTGAGATTCGGCTCCATTGGGCTTTGAAGACAACCCTGGGCACCCTCCCATTCCACACTGATCTCAGCCTGTGGCAGGCTGGAGAGAGCAGCAGCAAAGAGGAAAAGGAATCTGTACCACGAGGGTGGGGTGAGTGGGCCATCTGGCCAACTCTCATTCTTCTCCGAGCTCCTTCTTTCTTTGCTTTGGTTTAAATTCCCTCCTCAAAGAGGTGGGCCTTGTTCTTTTCCACCTAGCAAAACTGCTGGTCTATTAGGGATTTAAACTGAGAGCTGGTGCCATTGCACTGCAAGCTAGTAACTTCTGCACTCCATTTGGCCTGATTTATTTTTTGGACAGTGCAATGGGTTAGTTCTATCTCTGCCAGATCCTGCCTGTGGGACCCCTGCCTCCCGCAATTGCTCAGCACTCACTATTTTTACGCTTGTGTCTGGTGAGACCACACTGGTCAGCTTTGTCTCCAGAATTTAGCACCCCACACTCGGAAGACATTTAAGCATTCTGCAGCATCTCCAGCTAAGTCAGGGCAAGGAAAGTGGTGATAAGTGGTTCAGAGTTTCCCCCGCTATCTCAAGAACTGTAAGAAGTTGAGAGGTGACCTCAGGAGCGGTGGCGGGAAGATGAACCCTGCTGTGAATGCAGAGTTTGTTAGCTGCAGTTAGGAAAGCTCTACTCATTTGGAGCAATGGAATTTCTCAGCAAGGAAAACAAGATCACAACCCTTTTGTGTAAGCTGGCACAGATGGCATGCTCTACTGACAGTGGAAAGGGAATAATTAGGGATGGGCAAACTCTTTGTGCCAAACTTTGAACCTGCTTGGGTTCAAATTCAAGAGACACTGGGTAGGGATTTTCCAAAACACTCAGAGTTGCTCTCTCTTTCTGCTCCTGCTGACACCAGGGGAAGTTTTCAGTAAGAGCAGAGAGAAACCAACTCTGAGCACTTTGGAAAATCTCACCTAGTTGGGCTTATTTCCCACTTAGGAGAGAGTACATGGTAGGCACATTGATATTTTTCATGCACATTGTAATAGAACTACAATGCGGTTAACATATGGGATTTTCTGGTAAGCACATGTAATATGTGAGTCATAACTACAGCTGGTAATTAATATGCCTTTTTAACACATGCAATCTCAAACGAATCATGCAGCCAGACTTTCTTCCACTTGCTCCCTTGATGGAACCATGTTTTCTTCTCACTCCTAAGGCCTTGATCTTCTGTCCAAGTGAGGGAACCCAGATCACCCTAGCAGGTGACTGGTAGGTAGCAATCAGCTGTGAAATGGGACAAGGTACACTGTTCTACCTCTCACTCACTCTTGGGTCTTAGGCTCAGTGGGACAAGAACCTGGCTTTAACTGACCTTGAGCCTTAGTCCAGCAACAGCCAGCAATCTGCAGCTATATCCACGGTAGCAGCAATGCCAACCTGCTTGGGCCCCTGTCTACAATAGCAACTCAGCTCCAGTGCAGATGCACAGGTGGTAGCTAGACCTGGCTATCGAAATGGCAGGTCCCATTTCCCTCCCATGGAAAATTTTGAATTTTTGAAAAAATATTCATCCTGGCTTGGGATGTTTTGTGGGAGAGAAAGATTAAAAAAAATCTAGTTATGGGCGAACCAAAGCAGAATGTTTCCAAGGGGTCAGGCAGCCCAAGTAACTGGGGAGCCAGCTGCCCAAGTAGTCGAGAAGTTTGGCAGCCTGGACAGCCTTCGGTTTGGAGAGCCCAGCTGCTGCAGTCAGCCTGGGAAGACAGGTGAGCTGTCAGGAAACCAGGCAGGTCTCCATGGGCAACCTGCCCAGTTTCCATCTAAATGGACCCATTCCCATGGAAAGGTCAGTTTCGTCAAATCAGTCTTTAACTACAGAAAACCATTCCGGCCGAAAATGTCTGACCAGCTCCAGTGGGAGCAACGCGGTGGCCCCAGTTTAGCACCAGAACAGTTGCCCTGTTGCTGGCTAGTGCTGCAACATGGACACTAATTGTTCCAGTATAGATGTACCCTTATGGAGACAGGGGGAGTATAATTAACTGGTTTTCATCCCCCCCCCCAATTGGGGAATAATATCCATTCCACTGAAGGCAGAGTTCCTTTGCTGCTAGTTAGGAATATCTTAATAAAATACTTTAATGCACATACAATGCATAGCACAACAGGGTTCTGGTCGATGACTCCTGGGCACGACGATAATACAAATAAATTAATAATAATAATGGAGTCCCAGCATATGCATATGCAGCACCTTCTGCAGATCCTCGTAAGGAATAAAGAGCCGAGGAATTAACTTGATAAAGAAACAGTCTGAGGCCACACAATGAGCGATGTTCCCCTGGATTAGCAGCACAGGAAGCGATTTTCATTGGCGAGGAATCTTTCTTTTTGACCTGTCACTCTCTCTCTCTCTCCCTCTTGCTAATAAATCTATAACCCGCTTGAACAATGTGGTGAAGAACAAGGGAGTGAAACAAATGGCTTAGCAAAACAAAGGGAGGGAGAGATGAATGCCCTATTCAAGGATGTAGAGAGGGATCCAGGAGTTATTAAGAGAGCAAAGCAGAATAAAATCCACATTCACCAGGGTTTCTGCTCAAGGCTGGGCAACTTCTCATTTTTTTTTAATCACATGATGTAGCTATTGATCCTTCCCCAAATCACATTCTTAATTGCAGCTCATCGACAAATGAATATTTTAATGCATACATTTCCTGCTAATTATCGCCCAGACCAGTCCTTAATTAGATTTCAACACTCATTTAATTAACCCTGATCCAAGAGGCTGTTTGGTAACCTGGATCTAATGATCTGAACCTATTTGCAGCCGTGCTGGAGAGAGGCTTTGGGCCAGGGTAGACTGGGTGGCTCAGTGCAGCTTTGAAGCCTAACACGGCAGAGGTGGGTTAGCCAAGGAGGAACACGGTTTAAAGGACGCAAGATTTTGAAGCTGAGTAAAGGGAATTATTGTTATCTCCTGGGAGGTGTTTCAAAGACGCAGAGTGATCTAGTGGAGAGGGTACTAAGCTGGGAAGAAGCAGGAGCCAGGATTAGACCTTGAGCAAGTCACTTCACCTCTCCGGACACCTTTTTCCCTACCTCCAGTCCTTTGCTTGTCTTGTTTGTTCAGCCTTTGGGACTGTCTCACTGTGGTTTTGGACAGCCTAGTATAAGTGGGTCCTGATCTTGGTTTGCCCCTTTAGGTACTACCATAATACAAAAAAAAAAAAAAAAGGTAGAAACACGCCAATCTACAAATAGTGGGGGATTTGGTATAGTAAATGTTATCCAAATTTTGAAGGAGGAGGAAGAAGGAAGTCTACTGGCTGCAGCCAAACAGAAGAAGCATGTTACAAGATTGCTCTATAAAACAGAGATGTTTGTATATATGCAAATATACTTCTACCTCGATATGACGCGACCCGATATAACACGAATTCGGATATAACGCGGTAAAGCAGTGCTCCCGCGGGGGGGAGGGGGCGGGGCTGTGCACTCCGGTGGATCAAAGCAAGTTCGCTATAACGCGGTTTCACCTATAACGCGGTAAGATTTTTTGGCTCCCGAGGACAGCGTTATATCGAGGTAGAGATGTATATATAGTATATATGCAAATATAGCTACTAGACAAAGTGCCAGTAGATGGCGCTCTCCAATATGCAGTACAGTTGGTTTTATAGGACCAATCAAATTGATCGCTGTGCACTGCAAATGGCTCCTTAGGTGCAACTCTTCACATGCAGTGCTGAACAAACATAGTGGTGGAATCAAACGGGGCTTTAATCTGAGGATTATCAGGAAAAAAAATGCCATGCAATGTAAAGGAGACTTATCCTCCATGGTTGTTGCTTCATTTGCAACACAGAGTAACTTGGCATCTACCCCTCTGTTTATTCAGACATTTAGAATTCTGTTAATTCTGAGAACTGAGTGTCGTTGTGAATTGATGTGGCTGGTGGGGGAAAATGAGGCCTTCATCTGACCTATCTAATGCTTGCCAAGGCAGGTAAGACCTTGGCAGCAACGCATGGTTAGTTGGCAGATGTTTTGCTCCACCACAGCTAGATTTTGCCTTTAATCCTCAGAAAGAACAAAATTAATGCCAATGGGAATTTTCCTCAAGGATCCCACTGTGTAATAAGTAATAGATGGCTACTGTGTGAAAGGGAGGGCGTTGGACAAGTGGTTAGAGCAAAGGCCTGGATGTCTGGATTCCTGGGTGACATTATTAGTAGCAGTATTACATGTCGTGCTTAGAAGCCTCAAATGACATCAGCACCCCAGTGCGCTAGATGCTGTACGTGCACCAGCAAGAGACAGCCCCAGCCCTTCAGAGTTTACATTAAAAAAAACCCAACAAGACAGAGAGAGCACTGAGAGTCACTGTTATCCCCATTTTATAGCTAAGGAACGGAGGCTCAGAATAATTGGATGACCTACAGTTTACGTGTGGCAGAGTCAGGAATTGAACCCAGCTATTCTAAATTACAGGCTCATACACTAAGCATAAGACCACACTTCATCCCCAGCATCTGCCACTAATTCATCATGTGGGATCATGAAGGTCATTAAATTAAAGGCCATTGATTTAGTTGGGATTGGTCCTGCTCTGAGCAGGGGGTTGGACTAGATGATCTCCTGAGGTCTCTTCCAACCCTAATCTTAAGAACATAAGAATGGCCCTATTGGGTCAGACCAAAGGTCCATCTAGCCCAATGTTCTGTCTTCTGACAGTTGCCAATGCCAGGTGCCGCAGAGGGAATGAACAGAACAGGTAATCCTCAAGTGATTCTATGATTAAATGGGCCAGATTCCCAATGGACATGGGTGGGGAATTCTGTAGGGCTTTCATGTGAAATCTATATCACTTCCCAAGGCCGTTAAAACCTGAGTTGGTGTAAACTG